GCTCAAGTCCCACTCAGGATGCTCCTTCTTGATCAGATCGACAATTTATTGACCTGCAGACTGAAAATCCTTGTTGTGGATATCGGTGAGCTCCGGAGAAGCCTTGAACTCCTCAATAATCTCAGCACGCCTGGTGTCAAAGGTAGCTGCAGCCTCGGCTTCGGCTTCCCTCTTCCCCTCAGCCTTCCCCTCAGCGAAACGCTTCTTCGCTGCCTCAGCTGCTTCGGATAACTTTTTATCGGATAGGTCTGCCCGTTTTGTAAGATCTTCGACCTTAGCATTCAACTTTGCTAGTTCATCTTCCAGACTCGCCAGCTTAGCCACGGCCACGTCTCTCTTCTCGACGGCATCATCTAACTGTTTTTTGGCATCGCTGACAAGGGAGTTGAGCTTGGCTTCCATTTCGTCCATCTCCTTGTTGCGCTCCTCAACCTTAACTAGGTCAAGGAGGTTAAGGATGGAAAGGACCAGGCTCTGAAAAGTTGAAGGTCAGAAATATAGAAATACAGAAAAAAAAATCGACAAAATCTTACGTGGATTTGGAAGGAGATCTGTTTACGCTGACGATTGACCAAGGAAGATTGAGCGGCAATGACCCAGTGTGGCTCGAGGAAAGACTCATAGAGAGCCTGAAAGATGAGGGAGAAGCGATGGGGAAGTTTCAGCATTGCCCCGATCTCGGCGTTAGAGATGTCCGAGACTTGGAAATTTCCGTCCATGATTTTTCCCCCGGGAATAAGTACGCATTCCCTCGGTGCTGAGGGGATGAAGATTGTCGGTGTCCAAGTCTCAGCCATTGGCGTCTTCTCTCTGCACTTCTTTCTTCGCGAAGGATCCATCACCGACCCCGAAGGGCCTTTGGTCCTCTTACTCATCGGCACGTGGGAAGAAGAGCTAGCTTTCTCCTTTCCCTTCGACGGGGGTTACTGGCTCGGCGGGGGTTGTTGATTCGACGGCGACTGATGGCATGGCCCGAATTGCTGGCTGCCAGGGAGTTGGATTCTCAAAGACGCCATCTCTTCGGAAATGACGAGATAAGGACATAGTCAGCATTTGGAAAACAAAAGCCGTAATAAATAAAGGCATCAAAAGCAGAAATTACCCTCGTCGCTTAAATGGAAGTATGCGCGAATGGCGTCTAGGTCCGAAGGGTCTGGGAGATCAAGAATCAACCCGGCGGCTTGAAGGTTGGGCGTGGTCAGGAGCGTATCAATGTGGCGGATCTCGGACAAAAATGAGAAGGCCTTCTCGACCCTCGCCACGCTATTCCCAGAAAACTTCGGCCGGTCTTGGTCAACTAGAGGGTGAAAGACTGTCAGCATACGGAAAAGGAGAAAGAAGCAAAGTAAGGTAAGAAAGTCAGAATTCTCACCCTTATTCCCAAATGCCGCCTGCACCTGCCTTCGACAGGGCAGGCGGTCGTTGGGGTGAAAATTGAAAGGACCACGAATCATGAAAAACATTGGTTTCCACCCATGTGACGACGAAGGGATGCCCAGTATCAACTTCCCAAATCTGGGCTGAGATCTCCCGTGACTGCTCAAAAAATACCACCCCTCACACTTGGCGACGTGGCATAGTTTGTACATAAATCTGAACTCATCCAGAGGAAGGTCCATATCAAACTATTGGTGCCACAAAATCCAAGCCCCAGCAAAGCAGTACCAGAAGTTCGGTGCCAGTTGAGTGGGAAAAATGCCGTAGAAGTGGCAGTAATCCTTTACAAAAGGATGAACCGGAAGGGTCATCCCCGCCGTGACGGCTCTGGTATAGACCGGGAGGTACCCGGTCGGCGGCATGCTTGTCCTAAAGTGCATGTCTGGGAGGACGTATTCGAACCACCTCCCATCAATGCATCCTTCCTTTACAGCCGAAATAATATCCTTATTCCGGACCCTCGACGCCACAACGTCGGTTGTGAAAAAAGGCCTATCCGGATCACCGCTCGTGGCAGCCTGGGGGGCATCTACCGTCGATGCAGCCACCCCGCCTTCACTACCCCCTGTGAAGGGGATTCGCTCTACCACCTCATCCAACATCCGTTCTACGCTGCCAAATTCACTACCGAAGCCGTCGCCTGGTTCATATCTGGCTTCGACGTCTTCTATGTCCCTCAGCACGGAGTCGACGCTTGAAGATGAAGAAGACCATAAGATCTCCACCATTGAAGGGGAGTCTGGACGGACGACGGAAGAATCCTCTCGACTAGGGAAATTTTGGGCCATTATTCTGATGATTAAAAAGGCAATGAGCTGAATTAAAACCCTAACGTCGAGAGGAAGAAAAGGGTGACTATTCTAAACGATGACTACTCATACGCCTCGACTTGACGTCGACCATTCATATGAAAATGGTAACGGCGAGTGCTCATAGAATTCCAAGTTCCCCAGAAACCAGAAAAACACAGGCAACAAAAAGATGGAAACAAAACTACCCCATGCGGCAAAGTAAAACAGAGTAAGTATCCCTAACTTCTACATTTCACGTATTTCCATACATATGTGAATCAACAAGGAAAAAAACTCGTGAGTAAGCAAACCAAACAGAGGGTGATAAAGCTTACCGGTAAAGAAGAGTTCCGGGGAGAGAATCTCATATTGAATGCGGCTTCGCGACGCGCCTTGAAAAGCAAGAAGTATGAGTCGATGTTTTGTGGAGAAGGATTCCGACGGAGCAAAAGGAAGTTCAGCACGTACGAGGGTTGTTTGCGTTTTGAAAAACTGGTTTTCAAAGTTCGAAGAGGGTATTTAGAGGGACGAAAGTCCTCGACCCCTGACCGTTGGATGAAGAGTTCAAAATCCAACGGCAAGGGGATCTTACCCAGATCTGACGGTGGCAAACGAGGGCGGGAAACGGAAGAGTCGCGATCCAAGGGCTCGTATTCGTCCTTTCAAAATGAAGCCTTGCGTCATCATGGGGAATCAACCGACGCGACGGTTGTGTCCCTCGAAGGAAATCTGAAGCGTCCAGGCCATCATTACAAACGAAGGCTTGGGACCAGTTTCTCACACCCGAAGCACGGAAGTACAACCAAACCAAAGCTCGAGGCCGCCTAAAAGGAGCCCTCGACCTGGGGGGTGGCTGTTGTGTGGAAAAATGTGACGGACACCTAGACGAACGATAAAGCGACACGTGGCCTTAACTACTCCCCACCAAGCAACAACCCTCGACGTCTACAGATCTAAAGAGCCCAAGCACGAAGTCCAACGTAGGGCGATGACTCCTCCTGGCGTCGATAGATCGTGCCGTCGAGCTTGAGGCACAGAGATCCCTCGACCGCAGAATCAACCACCAAGAAGGACGTTTGGGCTAAGCGTCGCTAGCGACGAGGGGAACGTTCTCTGGAGGACGTGACAAGTTGCGTACAAAAGTGGGGGACGTCTGCAGGCATTAATGGCGAGCCCTTAAACCGCCCCACAGGAGACAAGAGAGTGTTACAAGGACGCATAGAGCCGTAATAGAAGACTAATTGGCTGAGTGAACAGTGCTGATTAGTGGGCTACGTCTGAGCCTAAAAAGGGAGAGCACTTGAGTGCTTCTGCCACGAGGGAAACCCACCCAGCGAAGGAAGCCCAGTATAAAAGAAGGGAGACCCCCTACGAGGAGGGGGTTCAGATCCAAGAAGAGAAAAAAGAGAGTGAGAGATAACAATTGATGTAAATTGTAATCCCCTCAAAAAGAAATATACAACCACAGTGGATGTAGCTCTAATTTTACAGAGTGAACCACTATAAAATTCCTTGTCTTCTTTATTTGTGCACACCTCAAACTATATACATTATACTCTCCAAACAATAAATTTGCACACATATTCAACACATAGGCTGGTAATCTAAAGAGAAACTAAGAGGTAATCCGGCCAGTTTTTATTGATGAAAAATCACCGTCAACACATATGATTCAAACAAGTGCACATTTGATAAAGTGTCTTCCAATCTAATCTGCACTTGGTCGATTATCTGTATTTACGGATTGGATTGGTTTAATATGTTTAAATGATTATTTACACATATTTTCTTATTGATCATTATCCTATCTCCTGAATTTTAGATTCATTTTCAGTTTACCTTCTAAATTTTAAAAATTCTTACTTTGCCTCCTAAACTTTGAATTGTTTCCAGTTAATCCCTTCTATAGCAATTCAGAAAAAAAAAAGAGAATAACGCAGTCGCGTAGTATTCTGTTAAAAGAAACATATAGGGCTTGTTCTTTTGGAATTTAACTTGAGTATAATTTTTGAGTTGAATTTGAGTTATAACTTGAGTTGAACTTGTAACTTGAGTTTGTGTTTGGTTGTGTACATTTGAGTTATGATTTGAGATAAGAATCTTTTTGAGTTTGTGTTTGAGTGAGTCAAAACTTGAATTTGTATTTAGATAGTATTTTAATAAAAACTCAATGCTGATGAAAAATTTTAATAGGGTATATGGGTCGGGTTTTATTCATCTTTTTGTTGTCAACGCATAGAAAAAAAATCATCTCAATCAGAATTAAAACAAAAAAGTTATAGCATTTTTAAGAATAGAAAAAATATTGTTCATTAATTTGAGTTCGAGTTTCTGAACTCGAGTTAAAGGAGAAACTTGAACTCGAGTTTTAGTCCTAAACTCGAGTTTGAACTCGAGTTTAAACTCGAATTTAAACTTTAAAAAACATGAACTCAAATAAAATTATAACTCGAGTTGTCTTTTTTTGAATTTTTCACTCAAAAGAACAAACCCATAAAAACTATATAACAACTCTTAACTCCCTCTTTTTCCGTTTAATTTTAATAAAAATTACAACAACAAAAATTAAATAAGAACAATTCAAAATTTAATAAACAAAATAAGAATTTTTAAAATTTAAACGCAAACTAAAAATAATCTTAAAATTCAAAAAACACCGATCAAAATAATCCTTTTCTTAATGCATATTTTTAAACGTCAGACACGATCAACAATCACATCAAAATTAAATGCTAAGAAAAAAAAAAAAAAAACGTTGTATGTTCTTTTTACCTTAAATTGAAATTCTTCCTCAGGCAATGATGCATTGATCACCTTGATGGCAACAGTTTGAAGGTTGATACGCCCTTTGTATACTGCAGTCCAATCCCCTCCAGATTTAAACCTCAAATGCTCCGAAAAATTATTAGTCGCCGATTTGATCTCGCCGCTAAACTCCCTCAATTCGCACCTCCATTCAGAAACCCTCTCTGCCATGCCATTGCCATTGCCAATGGCGTCTCTCTCTCTGCAAAATTCGATCCTCCGCCGGAAAACGTCCCTCTGCCTCCTCAGCTTCTCCATTTCAGCCGCCGTCTTCGCCCTTCCGATCGTCGCCGCCTTCAGCCGCTCCTCCGCCTCCGATCTCGCTGCTGCCGAGCGCTGGAGCTCCTCGGAGAGATCTGATCGGGGATCCGCGAGCGAGTTTAGCCTCTTCATGCTTTCTTCGACGTCCGCTAGGGCTTCGCGGAGGAGCTCTCTCGTGGCGTCTAGTTCCTTCTTCAGCTCCGCTCGATTCGTCACCTCTCTCGCTATCAGAGCTTCGACTCCTTCCTCCTGTTAAAGTTGAATTTTTTTTCGTGATATGATTTTCTCGCCAGCCAAACAGAACTGGAGATGATGAAGATTGTTAAAATAAAACTTATTGTTTACCCGGCGATTGCATAAAGAAATGGCAAATTCTGCTTTCGCAAGTCTTTCCGTATCTTCGTTCCTTTTTGATTTGGTTCTCTCGTTGGTTTCTTTGATTCTTCTCCTTAGAAGTTCAGATTTTTCTGCAACGCTCTGAAGAAAATTGAAGGGGAAAAAAAAACGGAAAACAAAAAAGAACAAAATTCTCTTTATATTGAAACAATTTTCAAAACAATTAAAGTACGATAAAAGAGAATAATGTAAATTTGCTTGATTTGAGTTACCATATTGGAGTTTTGTAGTTCTTTCATTTCTGCTTCCATTGGACTATAATGAGAATCATTTTCTTGCTCACAAACTTCTTGTTCTTCGTCCAGATTCAGAGACAACAGATGGTGAAGATAGTTTTCCATTTCTTCAGCACAATTTTCCCATTGATTTTCCACATTGGGAGAGTCAGGATTTGAAGATGAAGGAGATGGTGATCCAAGGTTGGAATCAACAAATTTATCTTCTTGCATGAGTATCTGCTTGCCCCCACTTATTATGAAGAACTCACAAAATTCAGGCTTGTTTTGGTGGATGTAAAAACATCCACTAATTGCACTCTTTGATTTTCTTCATATTAAAAAAAAAAAAAAAAAACACACACACACACACACACCGAGAAAAATTAGAATTAGAAGTGGAGAACAAAAAATTAAGAAGAACGATTTGTTTATGTTTGTACCTTGATGAGGATTTCATGAATGTGAGTCCCATGACCAAGTTGGTTATGTGGAGACCAGAAATCAAATCTATGATGTGCTCAGGAATAGGCTTCTCATACTTGTCAACTTTGAAGATTTCAGCTTTTACCTATCAATTAAAAGGGAAAATTATTAAAAGCACCAAATATTACGAAAGCAAATGGTCGTCATGTTCTGCAATCTGGATCCATTTCTATTCTAATGTCTCCCCCGAAAGCGTATTTCTAGCAATGAGACAAAAGCAACAAAATCTTTTACTACCTTGCCGCAGAAGGCTTTGTACTGAGAAAGCAGCTTGTCAATCTGTCCTTGCTCGTTCTTTCTGAGAACTTCCAACATCTCCTCGTTAACAGAACTTGCAGGCATCTTCCCAACTGCATCAGAAGATGGATTTTATAAGCCATCCTTCTTCATATACAAGTATCGATAATCCTAGGTGAAAGAATTGAAAGTTGAAACCCAACTTTGTATTGAACTTACAATAGGTCATAACGGTTTCTTTTGTTATGTCTATGTGGAGAATGATGATTGAAATTGGCTGAAACTTCCACTTTATCAGTGTCCATCTCAAGGTCTTGAAACCTTCATCTCGATCATTTCCCAGCGCGACATAAATCGCCTTTTCTTGAGGCTGCATCTGCCTAAATCTAGCCATAACTCTGACTTTGCCAATTTGAATTTCTGGATAACAAGAAATATCCCACTTAACCATGCATCATCACCAAGAATAGGACTCGGATACTTGTTGAGGTAAAATAAACCGAAAAAACGCGTAGAATTATTCTAGTATAAATTTCACCACGAAAGAAAATTAGGGTTGCTGTTGATATGTAAGAAGTTTTAAAAATTGTTATGTTTAGAAGAATTTTCAAAGTGTCATGTCTTGGAGGTATCTGTTTGCTATCATGTAGTAGTTTGTATATAGTTGTTTATCTTTCAATGACATATAGGGCGGCAGGGTTTTTGGATATTATTCTTTTGAGTAGGTTCTCAACAATTTTTTATCCTTGAGAGTGAATATTCTTTTGGTATTATGTTGATTCTATTTTGATCCAGTGGTTCTTCTTGGTTTTAAAGGAATTAGAAAGATGACGACAAGAGCTATTTAGTTTGGCTAGCCATATCATTCTAGGATTTTACTCCTTGACAGGTATTAAGAAGGGATTTTTGAGTCATATTCCGGCCAATTGTAAGTAGGCCCTGTTCATTTCGTCTATTCGAGTTTTGCTACAGTAAAAAGCTCTCAGAAATAGTCACATTTAAGTTTTTTGCTACAGTAAAAAGTTCTCACATAAAATCACATCTCAACTCGAATTATAAACTCGAATCAGTAAAGTGAACGGGTCCTCAATAATGAGTACGTGGATAGCTTACCAAAGATTACTTTCGATTAAAGATATATATTTTTTTTCTTTTGGTTTATTTTGGAAGTAAATATTGTCTATATATGCTTGATTCCTCCTTGCGTACCTGTTTGTGGCTAAGATGTACATTCCCGGAAGCATTGTCCTTACTGTATAAAGTATTTCATCTTTCGAGAATTATAGCGACCCTTTTGACTAGTACTTGTGAATTTTGTAGGCGTTTGGTATAGAAGATAGAGCTGCCATGATTTCATTCGAGCTAATAAACTATGATTTGCGTCCTTATTTTAGCTTTATGGTGTTTTCCCATCTTTAGTTTATGATAGTATTGCAATAGAAGATATAGATGCCGTGATTCCAAGCATTAAATCATGATTGAAATCACATCATTATCATTATCATTATTATTTATTATTATTATTATTATTATTATTCACTGATCCATTACTATTATTAGTATTACTATTACTATTATTACTATTATTATTATTATTACTACTACTACTCCTACTACTGTTACTGTTACTGTTATTACTTCTGCCGCTGCCGCTGCCACCACTACCGTTGTCGTTGCCACTACTACTACTACTACTACTATGCTACTGCTGCTACTCCTACTCCTACTAATACTACTAACTACTATTATTATTATTATTACTATTATTACTATTATTATTACTATTACTATTACTATTACTATTATTATTATTATTATTATTACTACTACTATTACTATTATTATTATTATTATTATTATTATTTTTTGTAATAAAATTTATGGGGCCTTAAAAAGTAAGGGAAAAAAACTAACCACTAGTTCTCCTAGTTAAGCCATTCTTTTGCTTACCTTCTCACCTGCTAATAAAACATCGCACGTTAGAGATATTTAAAAAGAAAAATGCTTTTGAGGAATGCGTAGCAAACTTATCAAAGAAGACGTCGTATATACTACGCTATTAACCCAACAGGGTACTTGTTTTGTAATTTTAAACTTTGTGGATACAAAATAAAATTAGGGGGTGTAGCTCATATGGTAGAGCGCTCGCTTCGCATGCGAGAGGCACGGGGTTCGATTCCCCGCACCTCCAATTGTTTATTTAGTGTTCATCATCCACGCCTTTACCCGATGGTTTGTTTTTTTTTTTTTTTTTGGTTTTTTGCTTTAATGGTAAAATTTGATTTCTTTTTATTACTGTTTAGAGTAATTAACATTGACACTTCTTATTAAAATAACATTAACACTCAATTAAAATTGATCACGTCAACACCCGCACCTCTAATTTTTTAGTGTTCATCATCCACGCCTTTACCCGTTGGTTTTGTTTTTTTTTTTTTGTTTTTTTTTGTTTTTTGTGCTTTAATGGTAAAATTTGATTTCAGTACAGTTTTGGAGATTGTAATTCAGTTTTTCTTTTTATTACTGTTTGAGTAATTAACATTGACACTTCTTATTAAAATAACGTGTGTGTTGACTTAATTAAAATTAATCACATCAACACCTCTTGACTTTTCAAAAAAAAATTACAAAAACACTCCGCTGTTTGTTGACTTCTAATAGATGAGGCATCAATTTTTTTAACCGTAACTAAATTGCAATTTAAAATGACGATCCCTTGCAAATTATTAAACACGGAAATTAATTAAATGAAAGTAGACAGAGACCCCTTCTTGTTGTTGCTAAATATCTCTAGCTATAAAAGTTTCAGAGGCAATGCGTTAGTGACGAAAAATGTCACTGCTAAAATACCTATTTGTTGTTGTAGTAGTACATGCCCACTTCGTAATTTTTAATCTGCCTTCATTCTCCTGTAACATTTCAGTCGTGCCAACAAATTAAATCTCATAAATAGACAAAACATGATATAAGGTACGGTTTTAGATGTTTTAAGGGTATTAGAGTATAACACCCTAAAAAATTAATTGAGATTAATTAAGATAATTGAGATTATTAGTGTGCCTAATTTAGATTATTAATTGAGTATTAATTAATAAATGTTTCTGACACGTGTGAGTTTAAATAGTTCCAAGGTATTTAAATTATTCTTAGTAATTTATTTTAACCCAGAAGTGTGTATGGGCGCATTTCTGGACTGCTCTTTTAAAATATTGTACACGTGTCTTTTTCTTTTCCTTTTCTTTTCTTTTTCCTTTTTCCTTTTCCTTTCCTTTTTCCTTTCCTTTCCCGTGCTCACTCTCTCTCTTTCTCTCTCCCACTCTCCCGTGCATCTCTATCTCTCTCATTTTTGTCTCAAATCAAACGGATCTTGAACCAAGCAAAGATTTAAAGAAGTTTTCAACATCAAGAGAAGGATTCAAGGTAAGATTACTGAAAGAGCCTCTCTTGAATCTCAAGTTTTTGAATTTTTAAAACTTATTTTTGGTTCAAAACCGGATTTTGATGGTTTTGAGTAAAACTAGAGTAGAAATTGGAGATCTTGGGTTCTTTGGACTTGTTTTAGGACCTAAAACCTAGATCTAGTGGTTTTCCTTTGAAATATCTCGATTTAGCACTGGATTTGCAGGTTTTTAGACTGATTTCTGCGAGCTTCTCTCGCGCAGCTGATTCCACCGGTCGACCTGTGCGGTCGACCGGATCACATGGAAACCGGCCGACCTATGCGGTCGACTGGATTGCAGGCTGACCGGTCGACTGGTGTGCACACTACCGGTCGACCGGTAGTGTTGCACTGCTATATCACTGGTCGACCGGTTGACACGGGGTTTGACCCTGTTTGGCCTGAAAGTTGGAAATTGAGATTTGGATTGCTTTAGGAATGAGAATTAATCCTAAAGTGTTGTTTTGCATCAGTGATCGTTGAGGATTCAGACTGAAGGGGCTTGAGGAAGCGGAGGCCGGAAAAGGCAACGCTAGTCCCAGGTTTGATAGTGCGAGGTAGGATTTCTATCCCTTTTCCTTGTAAGCCTGTTTTCAAAAAGGATTTCGGCATTGAAAATGTTTTAAAGAAAAGGATTGGTTTACGAAAGAAAAAGGTTTTGAAAACCATGGCTTGTTTAGTTTATGGAAATCCATGGCTTGTCCTGTCCATGGAATTCATAGCTTGTTTAGTCATGGAACCTCATGACTTATCTAGTCATGGGGCCCACAGCTTGAGTAGTTCGTGGGGTCGTATTAACGATTTCAAAATGTTAATGAATGATTTCTTAAGCAAAGAGATCTTGTGAACTGGTAATAGAGTTTATTGTTGTAAGCCTAGATAGGATGCGGAGAGTGAATCCTCGGGGGCAGAACCCGAAACTCGGTCCGGGTAGACGAGACACTTGGTTAGGTAAGTAATTTGTACTAATTACTTGCTGAAGCCTGTAAAACGGTTATTTACAGTTACATTTCCTTTGAGAAAAAAGATGTGAGGTTCCGGCTGTTCTGTCGGGACTGAATATCTTATTTTATTTACTTATTCATTTATGTATTCCCTCGCACATTTATTATTCATTTATTTATAACGTTTATTTCAAATTATATCCTACTGGGCCTTTCGCTCACGTTTTATGTTTTAAATGTATTAAATCCCTCCCAGGAGATTCTAGGAGTGGTGCACAGTAGCTGATATTTGCTACGGAGTAGCTGAGTTGTGCTGTTGTTGGAATCAAGTGAGAATCGTGGACATCCTCTTGGACAAATGTAAGGAACTGAGAATTCTGTAAACTTATGTAATATTTGGATTAACTAGACTGTGGTTGATGTCTGTTGTAATGATTATTTACATGTTCATGTATGTACGATACTGTATGTCCTGTGGGGTGGAGCCCTGTGTGTCAGAGGCTCCGAAATTTTGTAATTTAATTATATTTTAATGCAGTTAAGTGTGGGGCCCGGTTAAGAATCTGCTTTATTAATCACAAATCGAACTCTACGTCACCCACCCCGTTTGGGGGGCGTGACATAGAGTCACTACTGAGTAGTGCATCAACCAGTGAAACTTTGTAGTGTACTCATAAAATTAGTCCTTTAAAATTCACAATTGCATTTCAAATATTTTTAAAATCAAAGCTTTTTTAGCTGAATATATATGGATGAGTTTTTAATAATTACGTTTTTATCGGTGGTCATCTTTAAATATAAATATTTAATAATATAGCGTGATAAAAACTCAATTGCATTAATTGTCATTAATTTTTTTATCAACTATTTAATTTATTACAACCGTCGGATTAATATATCTTGTGAATAAAAAATAATACATATTGATGGATAAATATTGGAGTTGTAAAACCCAAAATTTATTTGGGGTCAATTTATAATTTTTAAAGACTT